AAAAATTGTGGACATAATTATGACATGGAGGGTATCCAACAGTATATCAAACAAAGGAAGAAGAAAGCGAAGTATGTGAACACATGATTACATGAGTGTTACATTGTTCATGTACATGTATAACATAAGTCAAACAAGTTGCTAATGGGATATATGCATACATGCCATAATTTTTAAACTCATTTCCTGGACACTTTTCATTTGGAGGTGGGGCATTGATCAGCAAACGTATTTTTTTTAAAAATTTACATAGTTGCATACAACCTATATTACCGGTATTTACAACTTGCAAATTTAATGACACCATAAACAAAAGACAGAATGTCAATAATTATAAACAGTTTTTCTATCTTTTTTAAGTATTTAGGCATCGTTTATTCAATCAGTCACAAAATAGAGTAAAGCTATGTTAAGTAATGAGAATTAGCCATGTCGTTTACCTGAAACATTCGCTGAATCTGATGGATAACATCACCTCATATTAATTTAGAGGTAATTTTAACGGTGTTTGACCACTAATAACTGCCTCCAGGCGGATTAAATTTATACTGGCCAGTTGTCAATTACAGTGTTATGACACCTTCACTCAGGAAGCCACAATTAAACAATTAATCTTTCAATTGATAAAATTTATTGCCGATAAAGGATTAGTGTCACCATTGCAATGGGGATAATCGTTTGTAATTAGCGTTCTAGATTAGTTTATATATATACTTGACAATAGAATTATATGAAAATGTAAAATTTCTTACTTCAAAGTAGATTATTTTAGATTTTTTTTTTACCAGAACATAAATCATCTCCGGGACAAACACCTTATTTCTGGGACTGTCCTGGACATCCAGGACGTTATGGCATGTATGGATATATGGGAGAATATAACCTGAATGAGATAAATATCATCTTAGGTGCTAGATGAGGGTTATTCAGTAAACTTCACTTATAGAAGACACGGTCATAGCAAACTTCCTGTTATAAGAAACATCAATTTTTGGCCCGAATTTTGCATGGCCCAATTAAGTTGAAAAACAGAAAATGACACTTTTAAACAAACTGCAAAATATTGGCTATCGTAAATATATTCCACTTTTTCTCTTTTCTTTATTTATTGGCACAGATTAATACCCGGCCGAATGTACCGTTTATTTTTGTACCTGGTATGTACTTCAATACAGCTATTAAAATGAAATTGTATAGCAGTACGTAATAGCTTTCTATTTAGGATATTTTTAGCACAAGTTTTTGTCTCCAAAATATAAAGGTTATTCATTTTATTCCATTATTTCTTTTTTTAAAGAAAAATGATTATGATCACTTGCAATCGGTTTTCAACATAATTACGCATGCTATTTCTTTTCAGAATAGAATCCATTGAAAAATACAAAGTACGCTTGACTTGATTGCAATAAATACGGAATATTAGGTGTACGGACATAATCCCCTTCGGACAAAATCCCCTTCATGTATTTTTGTATATCTGGACATAATCCCCTCCATGGGTGGACATAATCCCCTTCATGTGTGAAATTTTGAAGTGGACAAAATCCCCTTCATAAAATTGCTACCTGGGATAAAATCCCCCTCAGATGAATTTTCGGTTTATAAAGTGGGTATGAGAGCGACGTACTGCATTATGCTGTGTGGTATCTTAATGTATAAATAAAAAGAAAATATTTCAGCAGAAAAGCACATGTATTCAATTAGCACATTTTAATCACATTAAAATTGCTTTGTTAAAGCATTCATAACAATCAATATATATATAATATTATGTTGTAGTAGCTTTCTGAGGCTTTGTATTTTGCTACGAGCAGGTGTGCAAAATTGATAAGCAAGACCAAAGGTCGAGCGAGATACCAATTTTCCAACGTTGCAAGTAGAAAAATACATAGCCTACTACAACATAATTTTCTTTCTATTATATACCTTTTTGTTTCATTCAGAAAATGAAATGTAGTTGTCAAAAAATAAATTCATGACTGACAGATGATTACGTAATTCTTGCAAAATCGGCCACGCCTTTAATAATTTTGGTTCCTGTTCCTGTTCAAATGCAACGTTATACAAAGCTAAGATCGGAACCAACGTCAAAAACTGTCTGACACTTCCATATATGGTACCGTATTTGTCACTTACATAATACGGAAATTTCTATCTTTTGAAGCGTATTTGCCCTTCAAGATTTGCGTGTATTTTAAGGAGAAAATTTATAGTTATACTTATATAATAAAAGAAATCTATATCTTTCATAAGTAAAAGTCACCCTTAAAATATAAAAGAAGATCTTCTATATAAAAGGAAGGAAAAATTGAAAATCTTGTTTATTCATGGAAAGAAAACAAAAAGCGCTGAGTTAAGTAACAAAATGTGATTTTTTATGAGAAATTGAGAAAGGGAGTAAAACTTAAACTGAAATAGAAAAGGATTTTTGAAGTCCAAAAAGTATGCTCTTAAAAGAAATGACATTGTATTCTAGAGGGGTATCAAACCTCAACATCCTCAACGTAATGGAAGGGACATCGTTCCATAAAATATGATAATGTGGACTCGGCACTTTTTGAGTGGTTTAAACTTAAGATTCCAGAGCCAGTAGTATGCTAATCAGCGGCATTATTCTTAAAACATTGCAATTATTTCTTTTTAGCTCACCTGTCACAAAGTGACAGGGTGAGCTTTTGTGATCACTTTTCGTCCGTCCGTCCGTAAACTTTTACTTTAAATGACATCTCCTCATAAACCACTAAGCCAATTTAATCCAAACTTCACAGGAATGTTCCTTTGGTGGTCACCTTCAAAAATTGTTCAAAGAATTTAATTCCATGCAGAACTCTGGTTGCCATGGCAACCGAAAGAAAAAACTTTAAATATCTTCTTTTAAAAAACCATAAGAGCTAGAGCTTCGATATTTGGTATGAAACATCTTCTAGTGAGTGTCTACCAAGTTTGTGCAAATAAAAGCCCTGGGGTCAAAATTGGCCCCGCCCCGGGGGGTCATTGATTTTCCCTATATGCATATAGTAAAAACTTAAAAAATCTTCTTTTAAAGAACCCAAAGAGCTAGAGCTAAGATATTTAGCATGAAACATGTTCTAATGGGTGTCTACCAAGTTTGTTCAAATAAAAGCCCTGGGGTCAAAATTTGCCCCGCCCCGGGGGGTCATTGATTTTCCCTATATGCATATAGTAAAAACTTAAAAAATCTTCTTTTAAAGAACTCAAAGAGCTATGGCTAAGATATTGAGCATCAAACATGTTCTAATAGGTGTCTACCAAGTTTGTTCAAATAAAAGCTTTGGGGTCAAAATTGGCACCACCCCGGGGGTCATTGATTTTCCTTATATGTGTATAGCAAAAACTTAAAAAATCTTCTTTGAAAAAACCCAAATAGCTAGAGTTAAGATATTAAGCATGAAACATCTTTTAGTGAGTGTCTACAAAGTTTGTTCAAATAAAAGCCCTGGGGTCAAAATTGGCCCCGCCCCGGGGGGGTCATTGATTTTCCCTATATGCATACAGTAAAAACTTAAAAAAATCTTCTTTTAAAGAACTCAAAGAGCTATGGCTAAGATATTTAGCATCAAACATGTTCTAATAGGTGTCTACCAAGTTTGTTCAAATAAAAGCTTTGGGGTCAAAATTGGCACCACCCCGGGGGTCATTGATTTTCCTTATATGTGTATAGCAAAAACTTAAAAAATCTTCTTTGAAAAAACCCAAATAGCTAGAGTTAAGATATTAAGCATGAAACATCTTTTAGTGAGTGTCTACAAAGTTTGTTCAAATAAAAGACCTGGGGTCAAAATTGGCCCCGGCCCGGGGGGTCATTGATTTTCTTTATATGTGTATAGCAAAAACTTAAAATCTTCTTTGAAAAAACCCAAATAGCTAGAGTTTAGATACCGTATTAAGCATGAAACATCTTCTAGTAAGTGTCTACAAAGTTTGTTCAAATAAAAGCCCTGGGGTCAAAAATGGCCCGGCCCCAGGGGTGTCATTGTTTTTAACTATATGTGTATAATAAAAACTTAAAAAAATCTTCTTTTAAAAAGCCCAATGAGCTAGACCTTAGATGTTTAGCATGAAACATCTTCTTATGGGTGTCTACCAAGTTTGTGCAAATAAAAGCCCTTGGGTTAAATTGGCCCTGCAACGTTGGGGGGGGGGGTTGGGGGGCCTATATACAGGTGAGCGACCTCAGGGCCATCATGGCCCTCTTGTTTTCTTTTTTGAATCAATATAAGGGAGACCACAATGACGAACCCAATAAAGTTAATTTTCCTAATCAAATGCTCTTCAAAATGGAGGACGATGGTAAACAATCAGTTTGTTATATGTAAATCTGTTCACTATAAAAACTCCTGATACAATTCGCTTTATACTTACAAGGAACTCCGGATATAAGGAACAGATTTTGATTGTCCCAATGAGTTCGTTATAAGCGGAGTTTACTGTAGTTATGTCAGTAAGGCTATATTCTCTAGTATATTCCATCAGCAACTAGTACATGTATAATAAATTTATAATAATGCAAATTGTTAATTGACAACAAGTTCATGAGAAAACCTAGCACTGAAAAAGGTGCCATGTTAATAAAATGACGTCATTCAGTCAATGGCTTAGCTAATGCTTCACATTAAAAAGTAATTCAAGTATAAAGTCAGCATAGTGGTGTTACTTTTAACCTTTATTTTTTTTTAAATGATGACATTTTATTTGAGAAATTTGCCATATAGAACTCATAAATAACCTTGTCCTTGAAGGTAAAATTATTGTGTTTTTGCTGTAATTGGCTATTACATTGTAATAAATGCCTTCGCTGTCTGTCCATTTGTTCATCTGGTCGTTCCTCTGCATTAAACTTGTCTGGCTTTCACAGGTCAAACTGCTGGTGGGAATTCAACCAAACTTTATAGGAGTGTTAAGTACCATCCCTCGTGCTTATTGCCGGTATGTTCCGCTTCACTGCACAAAATGGCCACCAGAGCTAAAAATAAAAAAATCTTATCTGGCTTTCACGGGTCAAACTGGTGGTGAGATTTCAACCTAACTTCACAGAAGTGATCAGTACCATCCATAGTTTTGCATACCGCCAGCACTTTTTGCTTCGCTGCGAAAAATGACTGCAAGAGCTAAAAATAAAAAATTTCTTGTGAGCTTTCACAGGTCAAACAGCTGGTGGGATTTCAACCAGCCATGACCTTAACTGTCATGGTGAAATATGACATTTATTTTTTACAAGAAAATAACATTTTCTAGAAGTACCCTTTACTATGATATATTTGTGTCTGACTTTAGAAGTAAGAAAAAAGTCGAGCGTGGTTTCCGCTCCGTGGCTCTCGTTTATAGAAACAAATTTGTTATTGTAAATGATTTTCTTTAATAGAAATATAACAAAATGTTACTGTTGTATGTACAGGTATGTGGGTACTGTGCCACTTTGATAATGTGAGAGTGACGTTGCATTTTTTGTGTAAAGTTTACTTTTTTGTCTGAATAGGTAAAACAGGTATTTTAGAAGCGGTTATAGTACAAGATAAAAGTAGAATATGAAATGTCTTGATGGCAAAGTTGGTAAGGTCATTGGCATGCAATGACCTGAAATAAAACATTTTCACAAGTTCGAGCCTCAAAATTGTCTAACTCATTCTTTTCTTTTTTTGTTTCCCTTTTTTCCAATTTTACTGAAGATGCAAATGAATTGGAAAATAAAGGTAGTTTTGTTATAATATCTAATGTTTAAATTATACCGGTATTAATATTCTTTTATCCTGTGTAGTGTTAAATATGCAGTAGTCATAGTACTTGTGCAATGCACGAGAGAGCACGAGTATTTTGTGCCAACTAAGCTACAGTTGAAACAATTTGTGTACATGTATTCATTCCGTTTAGTATTCAATATAAGGCTGTACCAACTTTCTAGATATTACTTTTGGAAACAAGAAATTGAAATGAGAAGTTAATAGAAATTAACACAACACTTAACACTTCTTTACGTCAAGAAAAATATAACATATTCATATTGTTTATAGACATAGACATTATTTTCGAGAAAAAAGCACAATCCGAACCAGTCTTGCATTGATATTTAACTAGAAAATAAGCTGACAAGCTTACCTACTGCGTTACGCTGACAGTTGATTACTTAGTTGATATTTTAACTTATATGGCAAGCCTGCGTGCCTAAAGATAATAACACAATATGATAACTGTTTTACACCGTAATAGTGGACTTGACCAACGCGTCAATAAATAGTTATCCTTAACTGACAGTAATACAATTAATATCTACCTGTCAATAATGGCAATCTTGTGATGAGTGTGATCAGAACCTTGCTGTTATTGCTGTTTATTAAAATCATTAATATTACTTTGTTGTATCATTTACAGCATTTATAGACAACTGAGCAATCTAGCCATTATGGCCCTCTTGTTTTTGTTTCAGGTGCCCAATTGCAGGCTGTTCTAATGAAAAACCAGTGGAAATGTCGGACTTAGAAGAGAATAAAGAATTGAAAAGACATATTGACAGAGTAAACAGGATTGCGAAAAAGGGAAAGAAATAGTTACTTAGAACAAATTATTCACCACCACGTGTTCAGAAAAACAATGTGTTACAAATAGTTACATGGACATAATGACTTCATTGTGTAATATAGTATATGTACATAATGACTTCATTGTGTAATATAGTATATGTACATAATGACTTCATTGCATAATATAGTATATGTACATAATGACTTCATTGCGTAATATAGTATATGTACATAATGACTTCATTGCGTAATATAGTATATGTACATAATGACTTCATTGTGTAATATAGTATAATTATGTACATAATGACTTCATTGTGTAATATAGTATATGTACATAATGACTTCATTGTGTAATATAGTATACGTACATAATGACTTAATTGTGTAATATAGTAAGTGTACATAATGACTTCATTGTGTAATATAGTAAGTGTACATAATGACTTCATTGTGTAATATAGTAAGTGTACATAATGACTTCATTGTGTAATATAGTAAGTGTACATAATGACTTCATTGTGTAATATAGTATATGTACATGTATATGTGATGTAAGAGAGTTGTACAAAACTTACAAGGACTGCAGCTTTACTTTTTGCCAGAACAGAATATTTACTTGAAACTTAAAATTCATATGAATGGTTACAAACCAGCTCAGATGTCAGAAATTCTACAATTCCATTGAACTATGACACAAGTTATGCCCCTTTTAGGCTTAGAAAATGTTCTGATATAACCATTGATACTTAAATGTTTCTGAAACTAGAACAGATATTCATTTGAAACTATTTAATATATGAAGGGTCACAAGTAAGCTCAGTATGCAAAGTTTTTCCACTCTTAATTACATTTTAACATAATTATCCTATTTTCTTAACTTCACTGCTTTTGTTTGTTTTAGTACATTGGGAAAATGAAAGGTTATTTGTAACTTTTTCGAACATGATTTGTCAATATATATTTATACTATTACCTGTACAATTAGTCTTTTTTTCACCAGAGCTAATTTCCTTTTATGTACAGTAAACTTCACTTATAGCGAACACGGTTATAGCGAACTTCCGGTTATAGGGAACAATTTATTTTGGCCCGAATTTTGGCCTTCTTTATTTAATATAAAAATATATGGTTATAGCGAACACGGTTATAAGGAATTATCGCTTATAAGGAACTCATTTCTTAGTCCCAATTTAGTTAATAGTACAGAAAATTACACTTTTATAACGAACTCCAAAATATTGGCTATCCGTAAATAGATCCCGCATTTTCAACGCACGGATTAAAACTCGGGCGAATGTACCGTTTATCGTTGTATGTACTTCAATACATCTATTCAAATGAATTTGTATAGTTTTCTATTTTGGATATTTTTAGCATGAGCTCTTTTCACCAAGATAAAACGGTTATTTATTTATTTTCTTCAATAGTTTTGCTGGAGTAAAATAATTATAATAATTTATAATCGGTTTTCAACATAATCATGCATGCTTGCAAGTATGATCCATTGCAAACTGCAAAGTACGCTTGATTTAAATGAAAAGAAATCTATATCTTACATAAGTAAAAGTCACCCTTAAATTATAATAGAAGATATTCAATATAAATGGAAGGAAAAATCGAAAATCTTGTTTATTCTCAATCATGGAAAGAAAACGAAAATAGTTTAGATACAAAATATTATATTTTATGTGAAATTGAGATAAGGAGTAAAACTAAAACTGAAATAGCAATGATTTTCGAATTCCAAAAAGTACGCTCTCGGGTAGCGTGTCTAAAATATAAATAAATGACTAATATTTCTATTACTTAATCAAAATCTCTTCAAAAAAATGGCGGACAATGGTAAACAATCAGTTCGTTATATGTAAATCTGTTCGCTATAAAAACTACTGATACAAGGAACTAATTCGCTATATGCTTACAAGGAACTCCGGATATAAGGAACAGATTTTGAATGTCCCAGTGAGTCCGTTATAAGCGGAGTTTACTGTATATTTATTTGTGCCACTAAAGTTATTCCCTTAATCACCTTTCCAAGTCGTCGTCTGTCAAGGACATTGGTGGGGGTATGAATAGCATTCAGCGATAGTTCTAGTTTTTTGCGCATTCAGCTATAAAGATAACTGTTGTGAGGGTATTTTATCACCAGACTGTAGATGGTAAAAACTCATTTATGGACAAACAAAAATGAGTGTAAGTTGTGTTTTCATTATAGATAACGTGACAAGTTTTACTGGTCATGTGACATTTCAACCTGGAAATTATTATTATCCAAAGCTTCTTTTACATATTGAGTACAGATGATTTGACAAGTGAAGACACACCTGATGTAAATAGAGGATATTGAATGAGTTTAAGTTCAATACTGAAAATTGCACGCGTTGAATAAAATCATATTATGTGAGCCTCTGGCAAGCATAATATTATTTCATTCAAGGATTTCAATAAATTCAGTAATGGACCTACACGAATTTAATATTCTATTTATCACATACCAAAAATAAAGACTGTTTCAAGTGAAAAAAGAGTCATTTTTCATTGACACGCCTATAGTATAACGCAAACATCTAACGCGTCTTTACACTATGTATAACGCTAATGACGTCACGTCAAAAAATGTGCATGGCCGTGCAATACCATTTTTACATGTCACAAAATCGACACAGGTGTGTGATAAAATTGTCTTTGTTTTTTTTGTTTATCAAATAACATAATTTCCATTTTATGAATAAAAGTAGATGCTAAAAGGTAAATGCTATTATTTCTATTTTTCGAGAACATTTTATAGTGATCTGAGGACACGACTTACGTTTATATTTTATTAGGAGAAATTGTATCTATTTCTTAGGCACAAGTGCCTTGATGATCAGAATAAAAATAAGTACATAATATTGTAACGTTTTTAAGGCACACAAACCCTGTCGGTGAAAAGCTAGCTCACCACCAAGAGTGGTTTATGCCCTTATATATTGGATACTATCCTTTGTGTGAATTCACCATCTTTTGTTTTTGCATATTGTAATGCTCATATGACGTTCCAACGTCGTTACAATATCTTTGATTAATATAAAATACTTTAATCTTATTTGTCAACAAGATAATTATTAAAAAGCATGGTCAGTGTGAAGATTATCATTATTTTTGTATTGTAAAGATTAGATTCAAGTTTGTTGTTTGTAAAATTGCATATCATCATAATTATAAATGTTATCTGCATCTGTGTTAGGCAGCTCCCACCTTGTGCAATTGTTTGATCTTACAGAGCTACATATATACTGTATACAAACATGTAAATCATATGAACTTTGATAATATTGTCACTTTTGTGCATTAATAGGTAAACTTCTATTAAATTATGAGTTTACCCATCACTGCACATGTGCATACTGACAAAAATCATCTTTGTTGTATACTGTATTGTCCTATTGTCTTTGAATTTATTAAAAATTTGAATTAGACCAAGGTCATCTTGATGAAATAAAATATCAATGATGATTTTCCCTGATACCTGTATTCATTTCTCTACAGTCTAATTATAGCACTTATTCTTCTAGATATGTAATAATTATAACACAGATAAAAGAAAAGATTTTAAACCAGTGTATTATTAATCTTGTGTTAAACCATGTCAGAATGTAGAACTTAGACATTTTGCATGTTGACCTGCAGGAAGTGCTGGGTTTTTTAACAATTGTTTGAATGTAATTAATGCTCATTTTTTACATCATTTTTTACATCATTGTACAGACATGTATATCGTTAGAGTATCATTATACAATATGTACAGAGAATATTATATTAAATACACATCAACTGATGATGACTTTTGAGTTTCTTTTAGCACCCCTCACAGATGAGGTTTTGTTGTTGTATGATCTCCATTGTGTGTCCTTGTGCATAATTTCTCGTTTTTGAGTTATCTGCCCCTGAATCAGACTTTTCTACTTATTTGAGGTCATTTCAAAGGCAGATAACTTAAAATACTTAAATGGATTTTTGTTTTTACTTCTGGATTATGTTTTTCTTGTTATTGTTGAGTACAATACATAATAAAATGCAATTCCTTACATCGTTAATTTTTTTCAATGAAAATAAAGGCCATATTTTAAGAAAGAATGCACAGGTTAAAAGAAGAAGTGGTAATAAAATCTACCCACTCTAAATGTGTTCTTGAAATTTTGTATATCAACTAAAACGAAGGTAAGCTTCATGAAAATAAGGAGAAAAAATGTATTGTTTCCATTTATTGTAAATTATCTGCCCTTAAATTTAACAAAAAAGTCCAATTCAAGAGCAGATAACTCAAAAACGAGAACGATGACCCCAACTTTTTTTTCGCTTAAAATTATTCTGATATCTTATTCTAACAACATGCCAAGTTTAAAGAAATTCTATTGAACAGTTAATTTTGCCTATATGTCTATATGAAAACTCCCGAAAACGTCTTCAAACAGCATCTCCTCCTAAACTACTTTGTAGCTTTTCACCGAATGCTACAGAAATCATTTTATATTATGCATATTTAAGTCAAAGGAACTAAAAGTCGGCTTAAAAATGGAATTAAAATGCCATAAAATGGAACTTGAATGCCGAAAGCATGGCCTCTACAAAATTCATGTTAACCTTGGGCACAGAGTTTAATTTACATAGACTTACGGTATATAGGAAAATGCATTTTCACCTCTAAAACTGCATGTCATTGAGCTCAGATATTTGAAAAGTAGTACTGTAAATGAGACAGTAGGTTTTTAGCACGTATTTTTATTGCATTATAACTGTTCTTGAAATTTCCCTTATTTACGTTTTTAGAGAAAAATCTACGAAAGCATTCAAAATGCGTAACAACTGATTAAATGCTGCAAATTCATATTTAACATCGAAGTGGTCTATGTCAGCCAACACCAAAGTGTTCGTCTTCTTCTGTAGTTTCTTGAATAAATATTCATTTGACTCAAGTCCGATGCGAAGACCAAGAAAATTTTGGACATGTGACAGGCTAAAAATGGCCTCAGGTCGATCTTAGGGTAACTAGTAACAGACGCTGAAAAGCCTTTTACTCTATCTCAATTCATTGAGAAGTTGCAGCACTTTGAAATCAGTTTTGATGGAAAAAAACAATGCAAAATAGTGATTTTTGGCAATTTTGAGACGTCCCCCCGTTGCCATGGTAACAGGAAATTTACCATTGAGCATGCTGTGACAGAGGCTATGGTATAGTCAACATTTGTGCCAAGTTTCATTAGTATTGAAGCATTTTTCATAGTTTCATAGCAGTTTGAACTTGTTACAGGAGGCTTTTCAATGAAAACGGCCATTTTTCGCAATATGCTCATGGGGTAAAAGGTTAAACAGAGAAATATTTATTACTTTTTTTGTTATTCCACTATTGTAATGTACTCCTGAGAGTAATGCTTTAATGCATTCATATCATATCTGAAGAAATCTTTGTTTGTAATTAAGCAGTAATACATATAAAAAGAGAGGCGCTACATTAAAATAGTGTTACAATGTAAGGTTGTAACTCGCACTTATTTGTACTATCAATACCCCCTATTTTGTGATTCTGTCAAATTATAGCTTCTTTGGTGCAGTCTATGTAACAGATTAATATAATTAACTAGGAATATGATAATTTGCTTCTGGTTTTTTAATGAATTACTGGTCAAATCGTACCTCACCCACTATTTTAAGTAGATGCGAATAAAAATTTTGAGCAATTATACTGATTATATGGAATGACAATATTTACGAAAGTAAGTCAACATAGTTGATTTTTAAAGAGTGATACCATAAGAGGTATCTTGTAAGATCTAATGATCTTTCAAAAGTAATAAGCATGATTTTGTTGTTAGTCTACCTACAGTGTGCAAAAAAAGATCTGTTCACCTATCTATATGTTAGACACCTTTTCTATGTCAAATGAAATGTTATGTGTTTGGTAAAGTCGCTTAAATTGACTAAACAGTCATTTAAAAAGTTTGGCATCTTTATCTACATGTACCATTACTCTGTTGACATTCAGTTTCATAAAACATGCATTGTAGTCGGATAAAGCATATTGCTTATATGAAGATCGTTCGCTTGGCATTATTATTGTGTTTGTGGTATTTTAAATTCCTTCTATTTGACCTTTTTCGAGTTGTGTGGTTCTAGGTTTCCTATTTGAATACTGTATAATAACCCTTGGATATGTCGCCTGCTTTTAACAATTATCTTTTGACTTCTGATCTCGTTTTATAAGTTTTGCCCATTGTGTTCTCGTTTGAACAAACATCCTATTTCTTGGGGACAATACGCTATATGTCGTGGAATTGCACGAACATTTTAGATTGAGGGTACCATGATCACCCTATCATCTCTGTATTTTTCTTCACTTCCTTTAAAATTGTACCAGTTCTTGTAAAATTAAGGCGGTGCTACAGAGCGGGACGGTAGCTTACAAGTGTTCCTATATGACAAGACAGTGTAAATAAAATGTTTCCCCGCCAAGTGAAATTCTAACGATTGTCATGGTTACATTAGATGAAATAAATAAAACACATAAATGATCATCTCCAAAAAATATACAGTATAATGAACCGTAACAACTGTACTTGGTGCTTTAAAGGAAGGCAAAGCAACAAAAAAATCACCTACATCCGAAGGGCCGACAAAGCAAGACAGAAGACGAAAATTAAAACAAGTCAGATCGGAATACTTATAGAACTGTCCATTATAGAGTTTTCCACGTTGTCCATCAGATGCAATCGCGTTTAAATGCAAAGCGTAGCGTCCCAACTGTAAAATGGTTAAACACTAATTAAGCCATATAATAATTGGGTCATAGCCTCTTTTAATAAAATGTTTGATAATTTTTGTGAAGACAGCAGAAAAATTACTATGACCCATGATCCTAGAAAGTTTATAAACCACATCTCCATAGAAACAAATACAAATGTTGCTGCAATGCAGCAATTAAGAAGTTCCGCGCAAAAATGCGCTCATGACGGATAACTTGTCAAATAATTCCTGCTCAAAGGTCATTTTGCTATTTAGGTTACTAATAGACCTTTTTTTCTGAATGTTCTGTAAATCATTTAAATTTGCATAATTATACTATCTTGTATGCACTGTCCATGAGAGAGGGGTCAGTTATTAAATGTAAAAACATGCTTACACCAATTCCTACCTGGTAAGAAAAGTAATTCCAATACAAAACAAAATAGCAAAACAAGGTTTAGAAGATGACAACTAGTAGGGCAACATTGTTCTGTTTGCGTCACTATGTATTAAATATAAAATGCTCTAACCGTTTTCAAATTTGTTCTGTTCAGCAAATTATTACCTACAATTAAAACTTACAAAATCTTATGGTCTTATATGATAAATATGTTGTTCAAATGAAGAATTATCAATATTTTATAGCAGCATGCCTCCAGATGAGCCATATTATTTCAATGAAATCAAACTTGTGAAAAATGTTCTAAGATTTTAGGAAAAGAGGAAAGGTTCAAGATTCAAATAATTGTTTACAGGTTATGAGTGGTTAATGGTTAATTTTTCATTATGTATAAAAATATTTCTACTGCGTTACTTACGCAGTAAGAGCATTTTTTTTGCATATTTTGATCATTTTTTTGGTAATAAATCGTGGGTTGTAAGTGTCATTGATAATGTGTAAAATGCTTCCTTTTTGTTACTAAACAACATTTAACTTTTAATTTTTCATGAAAATAAGCATTAATCTGGAGGCGTGCTGCTTTAAGCTACAAAACGCATTCCTAAGAAAGAAATGACGGATTTTAACAATTCGTGTACATAAATGGAGATATTTCTGATAAAGTTTTGGATACTTTTTCTATAGAATTTTTTTATCTTTTAAAGCTTATTTATAATGTACAAAAATGTTGTATAAAATTTTAAAAGAAGTGTTGAAAGGAAACCGATGTATGTATATATACTTTCAGTTTACTGTATGTTACACCCTTTATTTCTACATAATTATAGGATCTTTGATAAAAATGGGGAATTGACCATATCAGTAGTATACATACCTTAGCACAAATATTATTATAATTGAACGTTTATAATAACATTATTATTATTTATTATTATTATTATTATTACAAATATATGAGAGAACCCGTATTATATCTTTGGCTTTTAAGCCATGCGACGACAACGCGCCGTTTGGTGCGTTCCGCTAGCGACAAGACGAAAAGGCGATAACGATATAGGCTATCGACAACGCAACGCGCAAAGTGTACCAAATCAGCCACCATACCTTATAAGCTATGTCATTCTCGTAAATGAAATACATGGAAAAATATATAAAATAATAATTATTAATAAATTTAAAAAATATATATAAAAAAATCAATAAATTAAAAAGTAAAACAAAAATAGAATAATTTAATTCAAAGGGCTAATAAAAGTTTCACCCATTGTGGGACCTTCCGAATGCGAAACAAGGACCTTATAACCACTACTCTAACAGGCCATAATTATATTATCTTTCAAACGTTTTTCCTGTTGGTGCGTTTTCGTATATGGCTTTATCCTGCCACCCCTGTGTACTAAATTAAGATTTCCCATTCTCGATCAAATTTGAATCGATACCGTTATGCCGGATTCCGATGATTGCCGATAAAAGGTCATTGAATATTCAAATGTCTCAGGCCAATATTGGCCAACAATATTTCAATAATGAAAAGGTCAGAGTTGAGAAGCACGGCGGAAAATGCCGAATTTTCCCGCTTCACAGATTACAGACCACGTGATCATTTGAGCTAACAGGTCATTTTTGGTGGGAAACTTGCGCCGAGAAGACGTTCTTTG